AACAGATGGACAATAGATGGATATCGCGCGCAATTTACATTCCGAATTTCTTTCACAAGTAGAGCAGGAGGTGAAAGGCGAGACTAGCTTTACCGGATAATAACATCCTCCGTTTCCGCGCTTATGCGGCACGTACCGTGCGATCTACCAGTGTGTATAAGGACAGAGACAAGTATGCAGTTTGCATATACGTACGTGTCCGTACTTGTCATGCACGAGCACGTGGATAAGCCATTGTCACTCCGTGTTGCTCGAGTGCCGCTCGATAAAAATCACTGTCTCGCCCTCATTTCGGAAGCACGAAAATGTAAAAAACTATTTGAAGTCGGTATTTAAATTATTAAAAACCAAATGTCGAGAGGGGGAAGAGGGGGGGGGGGGAGGAGGCTCTCGAATCTTCGTCGTCGACTCAGTCGACGACTATTTAGAGAGAAAATCGGGCCATTCGCGAACGAAATTATTAATTAAGGCTTGGGCGTGTTATTTAACATCGCGCTCGGGCGGTGCTGCCGCTGCCCTGCAGGCAGGATTAAGTCGTTTATAATCTTCCGGAGCCGCGTAAATCGAATTTTCATCCCTTCGTTGACGCGCTTCAGTCGTGACATAACACAGAATTACGCGGTTCGTTACCCTGCCCGCCATTCCACCGTGAAAATAACGTTAATCTTCGCCGATGACTTTATCGCACGAGATTGCACGAGTCGACAATCGTTGCGTTGCGAATTGTACCCGTGCTTTGCCCAAATTTCTTCGTGTTAATACACAAAGGCTCGCCCGAGTACAATATTCGCGCCATACCATTTAATCTCGTCTCGCCGGTGATTATTGTCTTTGCTTAACTCTTCGTTAATGAGATTGAAAGAGAGTCGTTTCTCCAAATCCAGTTATTTGAATCCTCCTTTAAATTAAATCATTGCAAAATAAAAGGAATTCTTAATTTAAATTTGAATTAAGCTTTTCAGCAAAATTTTTCAGCAACACTACTCTTCAACAGTTTACATTTTTTTTCTTTTATTTTTATAGATCACAGGATTAATGAGACTTTAATAAGAGATAAATTAATATTAATTTCCATCTCGATATTGGATTATATGAAAAAAAAAGCGTATTTTACATGGCTTAATCGCGTTATCGATTTGTCGTCGCGGAAACTAACGTCGCACGACTCGGGTCTTATTAGATTTAATTCGCACATTACGCGAATTACAGCACGTTGCGGAATAAGAACGTGCGTTTTTGCGGCCTCTTAAACGGAGATTAAGCAGTCGCTCGTTCGCGATAATAATAGGTTTGTGCACGAGTGCACACGTGTATGCTCGATAATTACCTTTGGGCGCGCGATTACAGGCTGCTCGGACCACTTGCTAATGCTACTTATAGCGGACTACTTAATCCGTGCTTGTCTGATTTTTTTTTTTCTCTATTTCTCGAAGGCTTATCCAAAGAGAGACATCACCAACATCGTCGAGTCGTCGCATTACGTTAGGGTGAGCGGATGGTGCAAACCCGGCAGAACCAAGTGCAAGCTTTCTCGATGGGTCAAGCCTTACAGATGTTTAGGTGAGTGATAATAATTTTGATATTTCTGCGCGCCAAATATCGAAAAAAAAAAAAAACGCGACAATGCCTGTTCGTATTATTGGTCGATGGCAAATATTTTTCGTGAATTGAAAGACCAAATCTGTAATTTTAATGAGTTTTTGATATTCGCCGATTGTACAAGCGAAAAAGTAGATTACATCAATCCTCATCCCCTATCTATATCACGATCAATCTTTTTGGGTCAGAATAAAATGGTAATCTGTCACGAATATAGCAAAACCGCGAACTGTCTGAACGGGGTATCGAAATCAATATAATAATGTAACTGTCGGCAGTATATGTCAATATCGCGTCAGTGTAGATTTCTGTTTACGACAATATGTAGGGAGGTCTCGATATTTGCCGCATTGATATTGCCGGGCGGGATATCATACGTTAATATCGGCCTGACAGTCGTAAAAATTCTCTCGCGAGATTCGCGGTAACACTCGCTTCTTGGTTGGCTTGAAAATTGCTGAAGGAGGTATCGCCTCGAGGGCCATCGCATCGAGGGCGAGTCGATCGATCGGCCGCGCGGTCGTCGATAGTGCGGCAACGGGCGACGCGGCCGTGAGAAACGGAGAGATCGATCTCCGGCGTCGGGGATTTAGTTATAAATTTAGCAGGACGCTCGATCTGCTTCCGAACGGAAAAATTCAATTTGTAGAGTCAATACGCCGTGTAACGGACAACGCGATATCTGCTGTCGGATTGTCCGCCCGGCTGCCTTTCTGATCAGCCTTTTTATCGCGCTGAAGAACGAAAGAACTATCGCGAACGTGACGTCGCACAGAAGCGGGATTCAAGATCTACACTTACTTTTTCTTTTTTTCTTTCCCTTTCCCTTCCCCTTCCCCCGCATATGAGAGGGTTGGTTCGCGAGGCGAGCTGTATCTTTATTGCAGCTCGCGATCGAACGATTCTGCGCGAGAAGGAGGATAAGAAGTGAGCTCGTAATTTATTAAGTCTATTTTATATGCGACGTTAATTAAAGTGGATCTTATAAATTATAAACTTAAACTTCGTTTCTGCACTGAACTCTTCAATTTGCGAGGAATACTTAATTGCGGAATATTCTAAATCGAATAACGCGAGAAGTTTGAGAAAACCGGTGGAGAAACATGAGACATTCAAAATGAAGGAAGAATGTATTTACACAGAAAGTATCTCGCCATAGCGAAATGTAATACTTCATTTTATTTTCAACTAACTTTAACACAATTTTAATTAGAACGGCAAACGCGAATATATTTAATATTAGATATCTAGAAGCCGCGGGTGAATTTTCATCTAAGACTTCTTACAAAAGTCCATTATAAGTTTGGTCTAAAAATCATCATTAAAATCTTAATTCGACATGTAACACAACAACATACATTTTACAAACATAACTTAATCTTTTTTCTATTTTAAGTTTTATCTCTTTATCTACTTTTAAATAAGTATCGTTGAAAATGAATAATTGAGCTAAAATACGCGAATGGAGTAATGATACAAAACACATCTGTCGCCGATGATATATTCCTTTAAGTGAGAGATACCCTTAAGTAAAAGACACGACGGTTATTTATCGCAACATTCAGCAAGACGAGAACTCTGAACTCTACATCTGTTTCGAACACGCTGTTAAAGCGTCAAGATCCGTGTCTCATTTTCTAATCTTGTTAGATGCTATTATTCCGGTATGCCGGCTACGTGTAGAGATGGTCACGGCCGTTCCTCTCAACGTCCGCATCTTCGGTTGCGTGTCTCACGTCCCATAAAGGTCCCACAAAGGTCCATTAACCACTTCCCTGTCGAGCGTTCCTACAAAAAACCCGACCGTGAAGCGTTTTTACTTATTGCGAAGTCAGGTTTTTACTTATTATATTATACATTGTCTCGTTTCAATAATACTCGGAACGTTTCTTGTGAAAATACACATTTATGTTTGCTCTTTCTTACGTAATCTCTGATGAAAGAATAATACATATGAGAATGTACTCGGACAAATCGGGCACGTAGTTAATACCCTCGATGAATTTGCGTGACTAGTTCTATTGATCAGCGCTGGTGAACGTACCGATGCGTCATCCGCCAGACGCGTTTCCATCCCACCGTCTCTTCTCTCTCCTATTCCCCTTTTGCTCTTCTATCACGTTTATGAAACCACTAGACATTTACGCTACTGGAAAATTGTTAGTATCGCTTTGTGCATTCCGTTTACATTGTACGCGAGGTATTCGCAAATGCAGATTCACGTTTGCATTTATATTCTTACATAGTCATTCGTGTGTCTGGTACATCCGTGGATACATAAAGTGTCTTGAACATAAATATTTTAGGAACAAAGTCTCCGATAAATCTTTAGGAAAAACTTTTAAGAGAGGCCATTACTATGCTGAAACTTTTTAATATTCAACATTAAGCCCGACTTGATAATTAAGCCCGGAAATTTTTTTTTTTTTCTGAGAAAATGCTCTTGAATTTAAATGAACAATAAAGCCCAGTTATTTGCTTATAGTTTCTAGAAGCATAGTCTGAGAAAAATTGTTCATTTTTAATTATTTACTGTTTATAGATTATTATTATGATGTTGACATTTTAATTTAGTTAAAAATTGTTTCTAGACTGAGAAAAATCTGTCAATAAGACAAGCAATTGAAAATTCTGGAAGAATATTTAATATATTAGAGGGATTTAAAAATATAATAAATATAAAATTTAATCGTGGGATATGTGAGATTTATTTTAGATGGACTTATATAAAATTCAATGATTAAAGAGAATCCCTTGTACTCAGATTCGCTATTGATTTCAGACGTTTCATATATCTGGATATACATATATGCGCACGGATGTATAAATAGTCATCGACAGATTCGCGCTCCGACTGCCAATATAATTCGTCGCAATATAATTCGTAGAATTCTCTCTTTATACATGAAGAGAAAGAGAGAGAGAGAGAGAGGAGGGGGAAGGGGGG